AGCAACAGCCACAATTAGAGCGGGCTGAAAAATATAAACTCAGTGAGCAGTGATGCTTTTTGTGACAAATGGTCTGCTGAGGGCCTGATAGATGTTAGTGATAGAAAAAAAACCTGGTTTGGCATTGTTATTGCAGTTGAATAGTTTAAGAAGAAAAAAATGAAAAGAACCTTTCTATGATTGGGCAAGAAAGAAGAAAAACATTTCATATTTAGCTACATCATATGAATTAGTTCTGAGACTACAGAAGCCACACGAAAAAGACCGTTGGGTTCATCGTTGGGGTCTTTGGTGGCCAAGAAACTAAGATTTGGAGCTGCCGCTTGGAGTTATGAAATTGGTTGAGAAGCAGTGGACTTCTTTTTTCCAATTAAGTATCTGTGGGAAGCCAAATATTCTTTACAGGGTTCAACCAAAACAACGTATCGCGACAGATCAAGCAGATGCAGATGTGAGAAAGCAGCCGTATTTGTTGATTAGGAATTATAGAGGTTTTCAAACACGCAAAATAGTGACACTCTTCCACCTTAATTGTATTTTTTTGGTTGTTTTGGAAACTACTTATTGTCTATAAAGCCATGTCATTTATGTTACCATATAATAGTTTTGTTATTTTAAATGTGTTAAATAAATCTTTAGAAATGTTTGCAGTTTTCATGTGTAATACTGTAAACACGGAGAAGTATAATTTGTATAAACAGGAAGTTTTTGGGGATTTGCAGTTATGTTTAAGAGTGGAAAGGAGCTTATGATGAAACACTTTTAAAAATGTCAGACCCCCGCTATAGATATTTAACTCATGGAAATGGAGACAGAAACTGGGTAAAAAGAGAGAAAAAAGCTGGTCAATTGGCTTTGCAGCAAGAGCAGGAACGCTGAGGAACGGGAGGTTATTCAGAATGTGTGTATCTCAGGGAGAGGGTTTATTCTTACTTTCCCTCAACTACCGGAATTCATTGACCTTTCATCTCCCTTTTTTTTTGATTATTGTGTCATAGTTCTCCTTCATTATGACTTTTACTGCTTCTTCTACTTTAGTTTTTCTTTTAGAGAGTGTGAGTAGGAGAGATGGGCAGATGGAGAGAGGGAGAGAGAATATTTTTTTCTTTTTCAATGTTTATTTATTTATTTATTTATTTAATTTTGAAAGAGAGAGAGAGAGACAGAGCAAGAGAGCTTGTGAGTGGGGGAGGGGCAGAGAGAGAAGGAGACACAGAATCCTAAGCAGGCTCCAGGCTCTGAGCTGTCAGCACAGAGCTTGCGGCGGGGGTGGAGGGGGGGCGGGGGCAGGGCTCGAACCCAGGGACCCCCAAATCATGACCTGAGCCAAAGTGGGACGCTTAACTGACTGAGCCACCCAGGCGCCCCAGAGAAAGAGTCTTAAGCAGACTCCATGCTCAGCGCAGAACTCAATGGGGGTTGGGGGGAGGGGGATGCATCCTACAGCCCTGGGATCATGACCTGAGCTGAAATCGACAGTCAGACGCTCAACAAACTGAGTCACCCACGCACGCTTCTTCTACTTCTTACATAAACGCTATATAATTTATTGTTTAAACTGGGACAGATTGGAAAGTAAAAGGGATGTTACTAATAATTATGGTGGGGTAACAGGCTTACCTGGTTGCTATCTCTCTCATCCTGTCCGATAACCGTCCCCGAAGAGCAGAATCACCGAGTCCAAGGATAGGGAAACTGTTCTAGAGCCTGTTCTCACTCAAAACAGTTTCAGAGATGATAACACCAATTATTACATTAGCCAAGCCTTCATTAGATTTCAGCAGTGCGCTTCTGTATTTGATCTCCAAAATATTTTGTTTTTTAAAGTTGAGCTCTGAAATTAGAGAATCTCATTTGCATGGCAGTAGGTTTGTTAGTTTAACTCGGAGGATAACCGCTGGAAAATCTTGAATGTGACTTCAGACCAACATCTTGCGCGCGGAGGAGGGTTGCTTGAGTTTACTTGGTCAGGTTGAGATAATCCAATCTTTGGGGTGGAGACAATGACCCTGCGTGTGGGTGGAGACTATGTCATAGGAACTATATAAGGCCAGAATCTCTTGAGCTCAAACTCACTTTAGAGAAAAGCTAAGGCTAGGAGACGTGGAGGTGTAGACTTTGGACCTACGAGATGGCTGCAATTGTCTAAATCAGTGTAAGTAGTCTCTTCCCTCTGTGCTATTTCCACTGTCCTATTTCTCTCTCTTTCGCTACGAGTTATCTTTTAAATGCTTTTGTCTTTAGACTTCTGGAGTCAGTCTTATCCTGTGTCAGGGAACTTTTTCCACCTTCTACTCTAATATTGTCAGTTAAATTTTTACTTATTAACTTCAGGTGTTTTTTTTTTATGCATAGAAGTGTTTTTTATTATTATTATTTGAATACATATATATATTCTTAAAATTTATTTATTTTGAGAGAGAGAGAGAGCACAAACCGGGGAGGGGAAGAGAGAGAGGGAGAGAGAGAATCCCAAGCAGGCTCTGCCCTATCAGCACGGAGCCTGATTCAGGGCTTGGCCTGCAAACCTTGAGATCATGACCGGAGTTGCAGTCAGATGCTTAACCGACTGAGCCAGCCAGGTGCCCCCCCGCATACATGTATTTTTATGTGTTTTCAATGACAAATGTAGGTGTTTTAAAAGGGTTCCTTTTTATTTTCTAGCATTATTTCTTAAAGCTGTTTCTGGGTTTTTACTTAAATATATTTATCGATTTTTCTTTTTTTCCAAATGTTTACTTAAATTCCAGTTAGTTAACACACAGTGTCGTTTTAGTTTCAGGTTAGAGTTTAGTGATTCGTCCCTTACATACAACACTCAGTACTTATCACAAGTGCCTTCCTTAATCCCTATCGCCTGTTGAACCCATTCCCCTATCCACCTTCCCTCCAGCAACCCTCAGTTTGTTCTCTGTCACTGAGGGTCTGTTTCCTGGTTTTCCTCCCTCTCTTGTTTTACCCCTGTGTTCATTTGTTTTGTTGCCATTTGCAATGGCGTGATGTGGATGGAGCTAGAGAGTATTACACTAAGGGAAATAAGTCAGAGACAGACAAATACCATAGGATTTCCTTCAAATGTGGAGTTTAAGAATTGCTACTTTTAATAGCTGTATTATAATTAACAGAATTATTTCATTATCTTTATGTGATTAGATTGTTTCTGATTGTTTGGAGTCATAGATAACACGGATAAGGACTTTTTACAAATGCAGTATTTTTTTTTTCTTTTGTTAATTTTTTTCTTGCATGTATTCCAAGGTGGGTTGGGCAAGCTCTTCTGGATTGTAAGCACCATATTCAATTTGCCTTAAAAAGTCAGGTTTTGGGGGGTTCCTGGGTGGCTCAGTTGGTCAAGCGTCCCACTTTGGCTCGGGTCATGATCTCACGGCCCGTGAGTTTGAGCCCCGCATCTGGCTCTGTGCTGACAGCTCAGAGCCTGGAGCCTGCTTCAGATTCTGTGCCTCTGTCTCTCTCTGCCCCTCTCCCGCTTGTGCTCTGTCTCTCAAAACTAAACATTAAGGAAAAAAATTCAGGTTTTTGGAAAGTGTGATGGGGATTTAAAGAAGAGGTGTATCTCTTTTCTTTTATTAAAAATTTTTTTAACATTACTTATTTTTGAGAGACAAAGAGAGGCAGAGCATGAGCAGGGCAGGGGGAGAGAGAGAGGGAGACACAGAATCTGAAGCAGGCTCCAGGCTCTGAGCTGTTTGTTAGCAGAGAGCCTGACACGAGGCTCGAACTCTCAAACTTCGAGACCATGACCTGAGCTGAAGTCGGATGCTCAAGCGGCTGAGCCACCCAGGTGTTCCCCCTGCCCCACACACTCTTTTTAACATTTATTTATTTATTTTGAGAGAGAGAGAGTGTATGTGTGTCTGTGAGCGTGATAACGCATGAGTGGGTGAGGGGCAAAGAGAGAGAGGGAGAGAGAGAATCCCAAGCAGGGTTCTGTTAGCTCTGTTATTGCAGAGCCCGTCATGGGGCTTGAGATCATGACCTGAGCTGAAGTCAAGAGTCAGATGCTTAACCATCTGAGCTACCCAGGTGCCTCAGGAAGGAGCATATCTCTTGTCACTCAGCCAGGCCCAATCAGACTGGAATGCCATCCGGGAACTGGAAGACTTCCAAAGACTCCAAGTTCCTTGTGGGCAGATGTCCTGTCTATCGTTACGTATGTCTGTATCCCCAAAGTCTAGTGAAGGGTGGGAGCATGGAAAGTTCCTAGTAAGTATTTGTTGGATGAAGATGAGGAAACGTGTTCCAGGATGTTCTAGCAACCGAGTTTTTCTGAGCTAGCCTCAGGAGTGCCCATTCCTTCCTACTCTGTCCCTCTGTGGTAACAATGGCGTGGCTCATGTTTTTGTCTCTGATTCTGTTACTTCAGCCACGACTGACCGTGTGGTTTGTGAATTCTCAGGAAGAAGTTCTGTTAGTTATTATTCAGTATAGGCCCTTTTTCAAGAAGAGTCCTCCGTTCACACTGTCTCACTGGCACTGACTAGCCTTAAGCGGGGCTGTCTTTGGGTCAGGGGCCCAACTTGTTCCAAGCCCTCACTCAAAGTACGCAACCTTTGCAGGAAGGCCCAGGAGGTGTCTCTAGGAGTGAGCTCTGGGAGGAGTGAGCTCTGGGAGGAGCGAGAGGATGCTGTAACCGGAGGGCATCTTCCTTGTCAGGAACACCTTTTTGGCTTGTGTTCAGACATTTATTTTAGAGAAGTTCGTGACAATGGTTATGTTTTTATTCATACTCAAGCCTTATGAGTTTTCTAAGAGTGCTTCAAAGCATTTCATCTGAATGATACTTCATCCTTAAAATTGATTCTGTAATGGGTATCTCAACCATTTTGCAGTGGTTTTCTCTAGTTTTTTACTTACATATGGTAGTTTTCTTTGAAATACTGAGGGCTTCTTAGAGCCACTTTTCTGTGACCGCTTAAGTCGGATTGGCTTTATTTTTATAGTTGGATTTGGATATGCAAATTATTTTTCTTGAACTGCAGGTGACCTACAGAGATTAGAGGCAGAAGCTGGGCTCCCAGATCTTGCTAAAGGTCTCACTGCACTCAGCTCCCACAGAGAAGCTGTGGTCAGAGCAGAGAAGACTTCGTCTGGGCGTCTCCACGCAAGGTCAGCTGCCCCACCTGAAAAGATAATGTCCGCTTCCTGTCTCTCTTTTGTGATCACCTAGCTTCTCTCAAAGATACATGGTTCCCTGTTTTTCTCACAGATAGTGCTTTTACTATGACTCTCTGGTGATTTAGTGCTGCTTTCCTGTATAAGCTGCAGGAAGATTTATACTATTTAATGTTTGTATTGGATTTAGGTACATCCTGATTATTGAAGAGCAGATTGTGTACTGAAGGCTCCCAATCGCTTTCAGAAGCTAATAAAGGGCGACTTCAGCTCAGTTCACTGCCAAGGAGTGACCTTCAGAGACCATGGCCCAGAGTCTGCAAGAGGAGGTGACCTGTCCGGTTTGTCTGGAAATTTTCTTAAGCCCCATTTTACTCCCCTGTGCACACATTTTCTGCTTTCATTGCGTGCAAAGATGGATGCTAGAACACAGGGATCTGAAATTGACCTGCCCCGTGTGTCGAGGGGTAAGTGACAGCCCCCCTTTGGAGGAATGGCAGATTGGAGCACTATCACTTCTGTTCACACAGCACAGTGCCCTACTGGAGAAAAGTCTGCACGTAAGCAATGAGTTGTTGAGGTTCCGGGAGGATGTGACCCTGGATACAAGCACCGCCCACTCCTTCCTCATCCTCTCTGATGACCTCAAGAATGTTCGGTGTGGGAAGATCTGCCGCAACCCAGTGGAAGATCCCCAGAGGTTCACCCACCTGGCCTGTGTCCTGGGCACCCCATGCTTCTCCTCCGGCTGCCATTACTGGGAGGTCGAAGTGGGACAGGCGGAGGAGTGGACCCTGGGGATCTGCCAGGAATCAGTCGACAGAAAGAGAAAGGCCGGTTTCTCCTCCGAGCATGGCTTCTGGTTTATCAGCATGAAAGCAGGGACCATCTATACCAGCTCCTTCCCAGAAACCAGAATTCCTGCGAGCCCTGAACTTAGCCACGTAGGAATTTTTTTAGATGTCGAGATGGAAGAAATCAAGTTTTTTGATGTGAGAGGTAATACCCTCATCTACACACACAGTCATCTCTCACGTGTGGAGCCTTTGCGTCCATTCTTCTGTCCCGAGCTGCCTAGAGAAAGTGACAGTGGTGCCTCCCTGAAACTCTGCTCATGAGAAACTCAGCACTTCCTAGAAGATTTCTCAGAGGTGAATGAGACCTTTGACTCGAGAAAGGGCAGAATGACCTAGAGAGAGACCATGTGTGTAGTAGAAAGGTTGTGCCGATTTTTGAAATAGATTTTGTAGACTTTGCAGCTGAATAGTTTTTGGGGTGCATTTTGTAGACTTCGTAGCTAAAGAACTATGGGGTCTTAGGGGGTGTTAGTAAGCACTCGAAGCCCCAGTTTTCCTAGTCTTCAAGTGGGGATCATTATATCTCTCAGCCAAATAGCTGTGATGATCAGAGACGATGCTGTGCATTTATTTTGTACTAAATACAAACGGGCCATTTCAGATTGGAAGTTAAATAAAATATTTTGTGGGTAGAGACAATGCCTTTTTCATTATTTTATGCCTTTTCTGCAATTCCTGATAATGATAGCTGTCTGGGAAAGAAGAAGGAAACAGCCAGCATGAGATATTTTGACATGAAGTTTCAGTGAGAGACAAAAGTACTGGGAAAGAACTACGTTTCTCATTTTTGTTTTCTCCCAAACACAGCTGCCGAAGTTTTCCTGAAAGACAAAACTTTGAGGTGTCTCCAGTTAATCGTGATTCACGTTTGTTCTAATGGGAATTGTCCTTTGCCCATTTCAAGGATTGGCCTCCCATGTGGTTGTCAAAGGGGTACGGTCTTACGGCAGGCACAGAGGTGCCAACAGGCTCAGACAATGTCAAGCTGTTAAGATCCCGAACCTTCTGGAGTAATGAAGGAACGGGGAATGAGGGAAATGAGTAATGAGGGAAACTTCGGCCCTTGAGAAGAGTAGACCCCTGGCCTTCCGCCCACCGGGTGCATTTGTGCACGGGAAACCCTTCCTTCTGAGAGGAAAGGACACCTCCCCGCACGCCTGAACTTCAGGCCACTGCTGTTGCTGTGGGAATTCTTATCAACTACATTAAACTGCAGACAGATATTCACCAAAAACTGTTCTCCAGGTTGCTTCTGAATTCATTTTTTTAATGTTAGAATTTTAGAGGTTTTGCAGTTAACTCTCTGAGACGTTTGATGTTTTCCTGTTTGGTCGTGTTTGGTCCTCTCCTGTTCGGTCTGAAACTTGTGCCCCTCTCCCCAACACCGCACCCGCACTGTCTCAGATGGTGGTTTCTCATACCGGACGCTCAAGTGCTCGTGATGGCTCCTTTTCAAACCATTCAGGTCCTTTAGGGCTGTGGTGTTTTGTTTTGTTTTTTTTTTTCTAATTTACTTGAGTCAGCCACTTCTGAGGTGACATCTGCTTTGGAAGAGTTGGGTTGGGACATGTTCAGGAATCTGCTTTTGACCTCATTTCCAAAGAAACTGAGGATAGTCAGCTTCCTTCTCTTACCAACTCCACCAGAGTGGGAGGACAGTCCAGGTTTGGTATTTTCCCCCCTTATTTCCTTTTGATCCCTGTGATTTTATTAAGGGGTCTCCTTGCCCTTCTCTGACTCAGGGTCTGCATCCACCTTGATCTACCTTAACAGGTCCTGGTAATATGGAAACAAAAGTTTCCTGAAACGGTACTTATGAGCGATACACTATAATTTTCTTTTTTATTATATTTGCTTTGAAAAAAAAAAATGCTGGGCTCACACACATTTGATTTCACAACTGGTCAACAGGTTGAGAGCTGTAGGTTGAAACCCCGGGATGGGCCCTAGGCTTCTAGTCCCTTCCTGTGTCCCAGAATGCCAAAGAAAGGGCAGCCCCAGTTTCCCTAAGACCTGAGGTGACAGCTTGTATTGTATTTGCCTATTTCAGGTTCTCTCAAAGACTGTTTGTTTTGAGGGACTTTCTGTCTCTTCCTCACAGAGGTTTAAGTTCCAAGTTCCCTTCATCCCAGCTGATGGACCTGAGTGATTTTTTTCTTCATCAATCATTAGGGGAAAATGCCAGTGGCCAATGATTGACCTGGTTCCTTTCTCCTGTCTGACGGAATATTGTGGCCCGGGGGAAACCTTGAGGGGAATGAGTCACAAGCTCATTCTGTTGTCAGTCAGTATTCACCCTTTGCAAAACATTTCACATATCCAACTTTTTTTTTTTTAATGTTTATTTATTTATTCTTGAGAGAGGTTGAGAGTGAGCGCGCGTGCGAGAAAACACAAGCAGGGGAGGGGCAGAGAGAGAGGGAGACACAATCTAAAGCAGGCTCCAGGCTCTGAGCTGGCAGCACAGAGCCTGTCACTGGGTTCAAACTCACGGACCCTGAGATCATGACCTGAGGTGAAGTCAGATGCTTAACCGACTGAGCCACCCAGGCACCCTGCATTTTGACTAGTCTTAGTAATAAAATAATTGTTTGCTATTACTTA